CTCAGCCCCCAGAATACTAAGATTATAGATGTGTGCTGCCATACCTGACTCATGTTTGAGGTTGTTTTTTCCCTGCTCTTCTCTCCCTCACTCCCTAACTTCCTACCCCCACTCCTGCTTTCCTTCATATTTTCCCCTCCTCTCTCTCTCCAGGGGCAGCAAGGTAGGCTGTACCAAGAAGACCTCCTGCAGCCCTTGTTAAGTTTCCTCCCACAAGTTCGGTGTGGGGTCTTGTCTTCTCGTCTGAACACTTAAGGGTTACACCACTTTAAATCAAAGCAAACAAAGAGATGGGAAAGGTGGCTCATCAGATAAAGGTACTCATTGACAAGCCCAAGAACCTGAGTTCTATCCCAGTACCCACATGGTAAAAGGAAAGTTGTCCTCTGACCTCCAGATGCTGTAGGTGTGTGCATATTTTTGTGAACACACATATACACACAGAAAAAAATTAAAAATAAATGTAAAAAATATGTCAAATAAAAACAGCACACTCCCAAGATCATCTCAGTCTTCTATAAAGAGCTTCCTTGCAAAGATCATTTTCATCAAGTGTTAGGAAGGTCTTCCTAATTGTTAGAGAAAGGCTGTGCCAAGTTAAATGTCAAATTGATGTTCGGCACAAGGACATTATTAAAAACTAATTTTCGCCTGCAGTGGTGGCTCATGCCTTTAATCCCAGCACTCAGGGAGACGGAGGCAGGTGGATCTCTGTGAGTTAAAGGCCAGCTTGGTTTACAGAGGAGGCCAGGACATCCAAGGCTACATGGAGAAACCCTGTCATGAAAACAAACAATCCTAATTTTTTATTTGTTGCAATCAGCATGCTATTAAGCAGAGCTGGAACAACATGAGTGGCCTCTGCAGGCAGGGATTCTGGCAGTAGCCCAGCAGATCACAGTAAATGGATTAGAAGCTCTGACCCAGAACTGCCAGTCCAAACACCTTTGCTACCTGGGGGAACATGCCTTGTCTGCCTGGAAGTCTGCCCTCTGTCCTGGCCCTTCCCCTGACGTGTGCCCACTGGCACCAAGGTCAAGCACTTTGTGTGAAGCCAGCTTCTAAGCTTCTAAATGACAAGGGGGAGACAGACTGCTAATCTTGGAAATGAAAACAACCCTGCAGACCTCAGTAAAGGACAATCTACCCACCCTGTACTGAATCAGATGGCTTCCTGGGGTGGGTCTTGGGTCCATACCCCACCCCAGTCCATCTCCAATTCATCTCCTCTCTCCCAGAACCACGGAGCTCCATCCTTATCTCTTTTTAATTCTATTCTTAGGATGTCACTAAGTTTTCTAGCTGGCTTCTAACTTGTCATCCCCTTGCTTTAGCCTCTGAAGTAGCTGGAATCATGGGCTTTTGCCACTGTAACCAGTTAGGTAATATCTTAAATCTTCAAAATACTAGCTGGGCAAGGGGACACACACCTGTAATCCCAGCACTGGGGAGGCAGAGACAGGTGGATCTCGGTGAGTTCAAGGCCAGCCTGGTCTACAAAGTAGAAACAGAGAAACCCTCTCAGAAAAAAAAAAAAAAAAAAAAAATATATATATATATATATATATATATATATATATATATAATTATTTTTTTTTCAAAATACTTTCTCAAGGGTACCTGGGCCTCTCTATACTTTCTCTGAAGAAGTTTGCATTCCCCATACAGAAACCTGGGGCTCTGTAGGAAAAGACCCACAAAACTACCTGCAGGTCCTCACTGTTTATAGGTATGTATATGTGTATGCAAGTACACAGACATCCCCCAAAAATTGATGGGGGAAGGTGGGACCATGCAGGAGGCATAGGTATCTTTCTTCTTAGCATCTGGAAAATAAAACTGACAGGTATCCTTAGCATCAATAATTAACATATTAGGACAAGTGACTCATGGTCAGGAAGAGGGCACTGTGGCACACACCCATGGGCAGGCTGCTTTCTCCATTCTGGAAAATTCTTTTCTTCAGTGTGCCACCCACACCCCAAAGGAAGAGCTGGAACCTGGAGAGCAGCCTCCCAATCCTTATTTGTGACTCTGAAATTAAAAAACAAACAAACAAACAAACAAACAAACAGAAAACCCAAATAAAACAGAAGCGCAGTCTCCCCTCCTGGTAGCAACAGTAACAAAGTGAAGGGCAGGCTTGTTTCAGATCTCATATACACAGAAACACGGTGTGTTGATTTGGTTATGCATGGAGAGGGGTTGGGGTATGGATACAGTGCCATGGTCCTTTTACATGGAGATGGTTTTGTGTCCTGGTCAGACCTGAGAGCCTTGGTGAGGAATTATGGAGCTCTCATTAGCCTCCAAGGAGCTGTGCTTCAATCAATGCGAGTCACATGCCCCAGCTAGCTTTGGCCTTGGGCCACTGGGCTTGTCAGAATCCTCAGTCCCATCACCTGATGGAGCTCCAGAGCCCAAGGTTCCCATTTATTGCACTGGAGATTTAGGAATCAAAGATCCCCAAATTCAGAAAGGACCAGTCCCCACTGGAACTCAGTGCAAGAACAGCCCAGCAGTCTGATGCCTCTTCCTTTCTCAGATCAGTGATGATGACTTAAGACTCTTGTTCCCACCATAGGGAGAGGAACTGCTAGGCCCACACCCTGGTTGTTATCAGTTTAGGGAACAAGGATGATACTAAACCACAAAGTCCTGGGGCAGCAGGGATCTTGAACAGCAGCCCAAGTACTGCTCCCCAACCCTCTGCTCCGACCTTGGCAGGTGATTTGAGGTTATCTCTACTGCCCTGTCTCGGTTCATTTCTTCCCCTTCCAAATGTCTTTTACTTTTTAACACCCTGACAGCTGACCAGGAAATCTGTGGCTTCAGGGAGCCACTGGAAGAGACAGATGAAAAGCTCAGCAGAGCCTTGTTTCCAGTGGCTAGGGGTTAACAACTGCCTGTGCCCATGTGTGGTGTAGAAAGACAGGAAACAGAAAAAGGGATCCGACAAAACACCCCTGGCAGGTATTCCAGTCCCCCTGGTATTTTCTGGGAACTTCCTCAGGGCAGAGCAGCAGGTATGACTTGCTGGAATACAGGGTCCGCACAGGAGCACAAGCAGAAGACACAGACAAAGAAGACACAGGCAGCGCCTTCAATCTGGCATATATCTCCCAGTACCAATGTCATTCCTGTTGTCCCTGCATCCTGCACAAGAAGCCCAGACTGATGGCCAAAAGTTCTGATCACTGTTTGTTACTCAGCATCTTTAGTGTTCATTTGCCTGGAGGCTCCATCTGCAACAACACCGGTGCTCCTAACTCCCAGCAGTGGGACTGAGTCTACTGGATCTCTCCATTTTTATTCCAGAGGTCTCTGGCAGTCTTTCAGGAAGGACTGTGATAAATGATTGCTCTTTCAAGATTCAGCAAAGACGCAGAGCCCAGCAGGATCTGGTATGGAGGCAGCTAGCTGGCAGTAACTTGCAGGCTTCTTATAATTACTGAGCAAGGGACCCCCTAGCATGGCAGAGCCATCAGAAAACCTTGAAAATTTGTTTTATGTGTTTATCAAAAGCAACTCTTATTCTTGGTTCATGACTTCTATTCCAGGCTTTCTGCTGACAGTGGAGGGAGTAGGGGCCATGTCCTACTGCAGAATCTGCCTACTGTTCTCCAAAGGAAAAGACCAAATTCTCAGCACAAAGATTGCTCCAGAGGGACAGAAAGCAGGGATAAAAGACAAAGACTGGAGATAGAGGAAGAGGAGAAGGGGAAGGGAACAAAGAAGAGGGGAGAAAAGGGACAAAGGAGAGTCCTAAGAAGTATTTATCCTGGGGTAGGGGGAGGGGGAAAGACAAAGGACTACCTCTGGATAAAGAAGAGACAGATGTGTATAGGCAAATGGCAGTGTAAGCAGAAGAATGGGAAACCTCTTGTTAGGATGGAGTGCTTGATTTTAATTGGGTATGTTATTAGGTCAAAGGGGGCTGGACTTCCATACTTTGATAGCTGTACCTTGGTAGTTGGCCTCAGGAAGAGGAAGCACCCAAATAAGGGAATATACCTTAGGGACTAGCTTTAGGAATGTAATCTGTTTTTACTAAGGCAGAGGGAATCAGGGAGAAGGGCCAGGCCTGTCAGAGCCATGCTTGCCATACTCGGGCTGGCTGGAGTACCTTCAGTTCTTTCAGTCTGAGATGGACAGCACATACCCTGCCTGGATGACAGTGCATATCCCTCTCCCCAAATCCCCGTGCTCTGGGATAGTATTCCTGTGGCCTCATGATCTTGCCTCCTCCTCCCAGGTTCTAATTATGAATATAAACCATTACATCTGCCTCACAGAGGAGGAGGAAAGTCTGTGTCGAGGCAGCTGTTCTGAAACTGGACTCCAGGCCCATGGCCCCTTTAGTGATTCATAGGAACCCATTCTCACCACCCAGATGCAGACTCACCCTCCTCTCAAGAGGCTCAGATTAAGATAAGTAACATCTACTATCTATCTTTGAGAAATAGATCTGTTGATTTTATTTTTAGTTAAATTACTCCCTTGTTTCACTGTTTGATTTCCTTTTTTTTTTTTCTAGCTCCTGGAGGTAGAAGCTTAATTTTATTGATTTCCACACTTTCTTTTCTAATGTATGAATTTTCACATGTATGTTTTCCTGATCACTGCATTGGCTGCATCTCAAATGCCTGATGCCATTTTTATATATTTTCTAAGAACTATACTCCATGCTTCTCTGATCAATTACAATATTCAAACCACACCATGGATTTCCATTTAAACTATAAACAGAAAGAAATGGAAAGGAACAAATTGGTGATTTCTGCTCTTGAGACATAATTTCAATTACTTTAAGAAATACACTGGGGAGTTCAATCAGGATGTAAAGTGAATAAACAAATAAATGAAGACAAAAAAAAAAAAACACTGCAGTACACACATCCATTTATAGAAGCCCATAAAGTTTTCCAATGTGTAAAAACTGCCTAGTGACAATATCCCCTAGTGACATCTTGTGTGTCTTTCAAAATGCCAGAAAGTAATTGCTCAGTACATTTTTTTATTTTATACATTCAAAAAACAAGATACACACACACTCAGGAGGCTGGAGAGATGGCTCCACAGTTAGGAGCACTGGCTGCTCTTCCAAAGGACCTGGGTTCAATTTCTGGCATCCACATGGCAGGTCACGGCCATCTGTAACTCCAGTTCTGAGGGATCTGACACCTTCACACAGACACCCGTGCCAGCAAAACACCAATGCATGTGAAATAAATAAGTTAAAGAAACACACAGTTAGGAGGATGGAGTACATAACAGCTCAGGAGTTACCAGCATATAGCACTCTTGCAGAGTACCGACGTTCAGATCCCAGTACCCACGGTCAGGTCCCTGGGCACAATCTCCTGGAACTGCGGCTCCAAGGGACTGAAGCTACTGGCCTCCACAAGCACCTGCACGCAGGCATCGACCCCCATAGACAGACACATGACTACAGTAAATATAAAATGATAAAAATACATTTTAAGACCCAGCTAAATGGCTATCAGCAAAGGGCTGGTTGTGGAAGTATGAGAACAAAAGTTTGGCTCCCCAGCAATCTTGTAAAAAAACAAAACAAAGCAAAATAACTGGACACATCAACAGGTGCCTGCAACCCCAGTGCTGGGTAGGTGGTGAGAGAAGGATTCCCAGGGCTGTGCTAGATCCATGTTCACTGAGAGATCCTATCTTTTTTTTTTTTTTTAAAGACTTATTTATTTATTATGTATACAATGTTCTGTCTGCATGTACGCCTACAGGACAGGAGACCAGATCTCATTACAGATGGCTGTGAGCCAGCATGTGGTTGCTGGGAATCCAACTCAGGACCTCTGGAAGAGCAGCCAGTGCTGTTAACCTCTGAGCCATTTCTCCAGCCTGAGATCCTATCTTTTAAAAAACGGTGGAAGTGACTGAGAAAGACACAAATGTCAACTGTCAACCTCCGGCCTCCTCACATGTCCCCAATGATAAACACATTTTTAAGGGAACAGAAAATCTACCAATATTGTTCCCCACTAGGAACTCAGAAATGGAAAGCACCTGTGTGTTGCCAGCCTAGACTTAGTAAATTTATTTCACATTATTGTGTTCACTTTTACAGCTGTTTGGACTTAGTTTTTTCAATCACATTATTGTTCACAGAATTCACAGAATTCATTAACAAGCGAGTATTTTACATCCAAGGGTTTTCAGTAGAGCAGCAGACTAGAAAAGATGCCCATGAGCTAGCTGCTTGGTGTGGAACTCCACTCTGATTAGATAGAAGTCTGGAACATTATTGCTTTATTAGTCCTATTTTTAAAAATTATATTTTTTTTTTCTAGGAAACCCACCCTGTCAGGTGTTCTTTGTTCTGGTCACTCATGGCATAGCTGATTTGTAGGTACCCAAACCCACCAGTCTGCAAGTTCTGAGGCAGAACAATGGCCCCTAGTGTATGTTTCTACATGGAAAAAAGGAAAAAAAAAAAAAAAAGGTAGAAACATTTCTCTCTTTTCTATTTTTGGAAATTGTCTCAGTCAGTACCCCAGGCAGGCCTTGAACTTGGTGCCTCAAGACTCCCAAGTGGCTGAGATTCCACGTCTGTGTATCAGGCCTAGGGACAGAAACCTCTTCCTCAGCTTGCTGTAACTCTTATCTTATGGTCAATGGGCTACACTCACACATGGGCCTCTATGCAAAACTTGAATTAGATCTAAACAAGAGAGTTCAATAGGTGACTAAGGCTCCTGTAGAAGAAGCCACTGTCCATGCAGAGGGTACATCTGAAGCAACAAAAAACAGCTCAGGTTTAATGTGTGTGGAATGTCTTAAAGAAAATGTCCTTGATGAGCATGATCCAAGGTGGCTGCTTAGCACTGGCTTCTCAGTGACATGAAGTTGAAGACATCTAGTAGGCTTTGTGGGTGGGTATGTTTTTATTTTGTTCCATTTAGGTTTCTATTCTGAAAAAAGATGTTGGAGGTTTCCTTGTAGCCCCTGATGCTCTGTGGAACCAAGAATACTGGGCTAGGAGACTGACTTCCTCAGGGACATTGATGCTCCATCGGCATTTGGGGCAGGATCCCTGAGAGAGGCGACTGTGTCAGGTTTGGGGGATGGGAGCAGATGCTGTGTGCACAATGCAGGTTGTGGCAGCGGCCTCAGTTCAGCTTCTTGTGGTTGTCTGTGTTATGCACAGAAGCTAAAAAGTCAACAATGAGCTTGGCTGTTTTCCTGGGTCTTTCCATCACCACTGAATGGCCACAATTTTCCAGAAGCTCTACCTGGCAGTTAGTGATTGACTTGGCTAATATGTCTGCCCCAGACACATCAAGCACCTGCAGAGGAAGAGAAGGGAAGAAATGGTACACAAAGATTTAGATGCTCCACTGCATTGCTGTGGACAGTTTTTACCACTAAGGCCTAGAAGGGTTTGGGGAGATGGGGTAAACGGAAGCCACCAGAATACCTTTTGTTTGACTCTGAAACGAGGTACTAGAAGTACAATGCTGCCAATGATAATGAGGGGAAAGACAGTTCCTGTCTCCAAGGAGGTTAAGCTAGAGGGGGAGTCAGATGCATCAAGAGATGAAGGTAGCATGATGGGAACGGGCTGAGGTAAATAGGAACAGAGAAGGGGAAGGCATCACTCCTGAGTTCTTTGACAGCTGAGGGAACAGAGGAAACTTTACAGAAAGGAGAAGAGCATGAGGGTTAAGGGCTCATGGCAAGTTAAGGGGTCAGGCAAGGCATGCTAGAGTAGAAGGAAGGCCTTTCCTCTGGCCTCACCACCACATCCAGTTTTATACCATTGTCTTAGGGATTGTATCTAGGGCCTTGTGCATGCTAGGCAGCACATACCACCAATTGCATTACATCCCGAGTCCTACTCCAGCCTTGGGACAGTGGGTGGTCCTTAGACTTGTTTGGGGCATGCATACCTTTAATCCCAGCACTTGGGAAGCAGAGGCAGATGGATCTCTGAGTTCAAGGCCAGCCTGGTCTACAAAGTAAGTGTAGGACAACCAGGACTTGTTACACAGAGAAACCCTGTGTTGAAAGACCAAGAAACAAAAACAAAACAAAAAAAACAAAAAGAATAAAATAAAATTCAAGAGGTGAAGGTTAAAGGGGGTACTTCCAAGAATTCTGGGGACCCCCTAGAGCTTCTCTGAGACTAATACTTTTTTAAACAACTCATTTGCACCTTAGTTATCCTGTTAGCATGCCTACTGGGTACCTTTCCCTCCACATTCTCCTTTGGAGTTAGGTTGGTAGTCACAACCCTAGTGTTAATCAAAGTCACCAGCAAGTCTTCCTCGCCACAGCCTTCTTCTCTGTCCTTCAAGGCAAAAGCAAAGACCTCAAGTACATACTGAAGCTCTTTATGAGCTTTAGTCTCATCAACCTGAGGTTTCCAGCACCCTGAAGTGGGGCAGGCAGAACAGACTGTGGTGGAGCACCCTGGATCTCCAACTGTGGGTAGAAACCTCTGCTGAGGCCACTGTCTTAAGAGGAATGAAGCCCACATACTAGGAAGAAAAGTGCTCAGAGAGGGTGCAGGTTAAGTCAAAATGATAGAGGCAGATGAGAAAAAGAAGAAATTCCCAAATAAGGATCCATCCTGAAGGGAATCACAAGCCACAACTCACAGGCAAAATAGCCCTGAGGTCTGACACTTTCATGCTGGTCAGCTCTGCAGATCTAGCATTCCTTGTGGTCACCCATGTGAGCCTGACATATGGTCCCTCGTGACATACACATGCCAGTGTATTAGACAGATTATTTTTATAAATAGTCTAAAAATTTCTCCATTACATTTGAGACCAAGGCCAGGTGAGTATGAGGCAAGCCAATGCCTCACCTAGCGTACAAAAGTTAAACGGACCAAAGGTGCTCAGCATTGGAAGTGAAAAATTTCTGAATGTAGTATTTTGAAACATAAACATTAATCCAAAGGGGATGGAGGTAAAGCAAGTTCTTGTATGCCATGCCCTGTGCACATAGAGACAAAAGGCCAAAAACAGAAGCAAAATTCTTTAACAGCCAGACAATAGCCATTTGGAACCAGGAGCCTGATCTCTCTCTCTCTCTCTGTTTTTCAAGACAAGGTTTTGTTGTGTAGCCCTGACTGTTCTGGAACTAATTCTGCAGACCAAGCTGGCCTTGAACTCACAGAGATCCACCTGTCTCTGCCTCCCAAGTACTGTGATTAAAAGTATGCACCACTGTCCGGCACATAAATGTTCTTAACCTACGGTGCCCTAGAGACATGGCCAGTTTCATGAAAAACAACTTGTCCTGTAGAATTGATTACTTAACAAGATAATAACATGCCCACCTATCTGCCCCATACATGTGGCCCATGAGATAAACTCAAGTAGCTTCCCTTCAACTGCCATAAGACTTTCATTTTTCATTCCCTCTCAACCACACAGTTGCCTCTCTGGGACTCACTTGCAACTCTTGGAGTGCATCTTAATGAATTCTCTGTCTATTCGTGTTCTAGTAAGTTCTTTCCCCACCGCCTGTGTACACTGTCCTTCTGTATACAGTGCTGGCAAGAAGAGATACGAAGAATGCTATTGGCAGGCTTTGTCTTGAAGGCCTTTCTATTCTGCTGGACTGAAAACTGAAGAGACGCTCTTGACCTGACTCATGTACAGGAGCCCGCTCAGGAAGGGCTTCCAGGTTCAGCCATGCAAGTTTTACTGCTTAAATCCAGGAGCATCATCCATACAACTGACAATCCACACAAATCCCTGTATCTGAGCATAGCAGCAGCTGGCCTGCTGAGGTTCAAAGAAGAGGAAGGCTGAATTCAGCCCGACAGGTACAGGTGCTGTGACACCAAATGCTGATGGCAGGGCAGGCAAAGAGCCAGGAAGCTTGGGCAGAGGCCAAGAAATAAAGACCCTCCTGGAAGCTTCTGTTATTTGGCCTCTGCTGTCAGGATGTGACTTTGTCATAATCTGTAGCACCCTTCAGGATGTTAGACTCTGCCCTTCCATGTAGCAAAATGGACTTCAGAATCTGGGAAGAAATTATTTTTTTTCTTTTTTGTCCTGGTGTTTTTGAGACAGGGTTTCTCTGTATAGAGTTGGCTCTCCTAGACTCACTTTGTAGACCAGGTAGCCTCAAACTCATAGCAATCCAACTGCCTCTGCCTCCCTGAGTGCTGGGAGCAAAGGCGTTCACCATGCCCAGGCCAGAAATTTGTGACCGTGGGCTGAGGCCAGCAGTCAGAGGTGAAGGACACACAGGATAAATCACTTGTTTTTTTGATAACTGGAAAAAAATATCATTTTCATGCAAGCTGCTGCACTTTAATTAATGTCATAGTCACCCAACAGCAGCAGAAAAGACATCCTAACTTGGAGAGGCTGGGGTACCTGCTTGGGGTCACAGGCTGAGGAAGGGCAAAGGTGGAGCCAGAGCATAGAGGCCTGCATAGAGAAACCCCGTCTCAAAAAAACAAAAACAATAACAACAACAACCTCCAAACTATGTGTATGTAACAATGAGGATGACTCTTAGAAACATGCTGTAATAAAAGAAGGCAAGTGCAAAGCCAAGTACATTATATGACACCATTTATATGGAATTTCTAGAAAGGCCAAAGTGAAAGAAAGAGGACACAAAATCAAAGATTGCATGGAAGTACATGGGAGTAGAGATGAGCTGTAGAGGGGCGGGGGGGGGAGTATCCTATTGTGCCATTTTACTCTGCAACTAGGCCGTGGGACAGTGTGCCCAGGTGAACAACAATAAAGCAGGCATGGTGAGGTAGCTTAGTAAGTACAGGAGCTGGCCACCCATACCCACCCACACCTACACTCTACCCTCCCACACATACACAAATAAAATGCAATTACATCTTTTCAATCAGTTAAGCAGCTAAAAGCTGATAAATTATGGCAAAGGTGTGTAAGAGCATTCTGTACTCTCTTCTTTTTGCTCTTGTCTGTTTATTTGTAAAATGTTACGTGTATAGGTGTTTTGCCTGCATATATGTCTGTGCACCACAAATATGCCTAATACCTGAGGAGGCTAGAAGAGGGTTTCACTGGAACTGAATTTTCAGATGGTTTGTGAGCAGCCATGTGGATGCTAGGATTTGAGCCTGGGTCCTCTGGAAGAGCAGTCAGTGGTAACTGCTGAGCCACCTCTCCAGACCCTTACTCCTTTAACAGTTTTTAAAATTAGACTAACTAACATTTGTGTGTGTGTGCACGCACATACAGACTTCCATGCATGCACCCATGTATATGTGCATGTACACATATACATGTATGGAGGGCAGGGGACAACTTTCAAGACTTGGTTCTCTCTTTATACCATAAGAGTTCTTACAATTAAACTCAAATTGCCAGGCTTAGCAGCAAGTGCCTTTGCCTGCTGAGCCATCTCACCAGCCCTTTCTGGTGTTGAACTCACAATCATCCTGCCTCAAGTCATCCACATGTAAATCTTTCTAATAGTTTGAAATTATTTTGACATAAAACTTTTTTTATCGAGACAGGGTTTCTCTGTGTAGCCTTGGCTGCTCTGGATTCTTGTAGACAAGGCTAGATTCACAGGGATTAGCCTGCCTCTGCCTCCCTGAATGCTGGGATTAAAGGTGTGTGCCAACATGCCTGGCTTGAAATAAAACTATTTTTAAAAGAGTGCATAGATCTATATAAGCAGATATAAAATGAATACAAGATATATATATATATATATATTTACATATATAAGGCATAGATCTTGGAGCAAAACACTAATACACACACTCACACATATCAATCCTAGCCCTCTGGAGGTAGAGGAAGAATTCCAAGACCATCTTTGGCTACATAGTGAGTTAAAGACTGGGCCAGCCTGGGCTACATAAGAGCCTGTCTCAAAGCAAAACAAACTCCACAAATTTATCTATCTGTACTGCACATACATATACTTGTGAGCTGAGTAGGGGCAGATAAACAGTAGCTGCTTTTGCTTTGTTTTATAGTGCTAAGAATTGAACCCATAGCCTCCTCACATGCTACTGAAGTGATCTGCCACTGAGGGATGGTCCCTGCTGTTGCTCTTTTTATAAACAACAGTTCCTATGACACAGCCATGTCATATCCTTATATATCATCTATGATACCTTGACACACAGAGAAGAACTGAGTGAATGTAACAGAGACTATGGAGAGCAAAGCTACAAGTGTTTACTATTTGGCTCTTTTCAGGCAGTTTGCCAATTTCTAGCTCAAGAAAATTCAAGAAATCTTACGAAGCAGTAAAGGAAAAAGGAACTAGGATTTGGATGCAAAGGGCACAAAATTTACATGATTAATTTTTCTTTTGGTATTTTTTTATACCATAGGACAAAATGGCTTTGGTAATTTTGAATTAAATAGGGTCTGTATTGCTAAGCTAGCTGCCATTTCCTGGACACAAGATACACCTGCTTACCTTTCTCATATAGCAGAATACAGGTTCTACACCTGAGATATAAATTAGGACTGGTAGTATGGCTTAGAGGGAGAGTGATGTATGTATGAGGCCCAGTACTCCCCACTGGTAGCCTGTAATTCTAGGACTTGGGATGTGAAGCTCAGAAAATCTCATGTAGAAGGCCAGCTTGGACTACTTTGGACTACATGGCAAAAGAAAGCCTATCTCAATAAACAGACAAACAAATAAATTCCCTTTCATGTTAAAATCAAACATTATTGCTCTCAGCTCACAGAACTGTGGCAGACATTGGCACCCGACACAAGAAACCCACCAGGGGTGCTCACTTTAAAGATTACCACTTGCTTTTCTTCTACAGGTCCCTGTGACATACCTGGTCTTGTTTTCCCCAAATGATCTGAGTTGGGACCTTGATCTTGTCCATGTTCTGATGCAAAGAGTATCTGGATTTCTCATTGACGATTTCCAAAAACACTTGTCAAGAGAAGAAAATGACAGTGAGTGTATGCAGGTTCTACACATAGGTGTGACAGTAGTCTGGGCTTTGTCAAGTCCAGGCCACTACTTCCTCTCCCGAGGGGCCCAGAAAACATTCTAAGTACAGAGGTTTACAAATTACAAGGCAGCTAGCCACTAAGCTGCAAGCTGGAGCAGAGCTACTTACGTTTCCGGTAGAAGCTGTTATGAGGGATACGAACATCAACAAGACCTTGAAGGATCTGAGGATGAATAATCCAGTTAGAAAAGGAGTGAAATCTCACTTCCTCCAACCAGTTAGAGCTCTGGGGCAGCACAAGGGAGAAAGCTCAGGATGCTCCTGCCCTGCCCAGGGCTGGGCTTTGAATCCCCAGAATGTAGAATATAATTGGGAGTCTTTACAAAAGCAAACTAGGGGCCCCCGGGAGATAGCTCAGTAGTTAACAGCACTTGCTGCTCTTGCAGAGGACCAATTCCCAGAACCAACAAGAAGGCTTACAGCCATCTGGAACTCCAATTCCAAGGGCTCTGCTGCCCTCTTCTAACCTGTGTAGGCACGTCATGCATGTGGTACACAGTTATACAGGCAAAACACCTTTCACATTAAAATGTAATAATTAAAAAAAAATTAGGGAGGAACTTGGGAAGTGCTGCAAAGCCAAAGGTCTGCAGATTATGTTAAAGACACCTGCAATAATAGCATGGCATCTTGAGAAATTCTTAGTTTAGTTCAAGACAGAAATCTCAATAAATAAAATATCAGGTCATTATTCAATTATATCCAAATGCAGAACAAGATTAAACCATGAGGACTGATGATCTTATAAACAATGAAGTCGTTGGAAACATAGCTCAATTGGCAGAATGCTATCCTAGCAGGCATCAGGCCTTGGTCATCTCTAACACTACATAAACCTGGTGCGGTACAGCATGCCTGTAATACTAACACTCTGGAGGTAGAGGCAGAAGGGCTAGGGGCTTAAATTCAACTTCAACTATACAGTGAGTGCCAGGCTAGCCTGTGAGACATGAGAAGACCCTCTTTTTCTTTCTTTCCTTTTTTTTCCTTCTAATTTATTTTTATTTATACAGTATTCTGCCTGCACGTATTCCACACCAGAAGCGGGCACCAGAACTCATAGATGGTTATGAGCCACTATGTGGTTGCTAGGAATTGGACTCAGAACATTTCAGAGAACAGCCAGTGCTCTTAACCTCTGAGCCATCTCTCCCACCCAAGAAGACCTTGAAAGAGGAAGAGGAGAAGAAATAAACTATTAGGAAAACTCTGTCCTGTGGAGCATAGATTATTCTTTGACATTGCCTTTGCTTTCCTTGCTGAGGGCTGTTGCAAATATAGAGAGACAGCCAAGATCTCCAAGCCCTGAGCTACTAACCTAAACAGGTGGCTGTGGCTATTTGTAAAGCAGCCCCTTACTTACTTCAGGGTTCTGAGGCAGAGCAAAGGGTTCACAAAGGTTGCTGACACTCATTTCATCCACCAGGGACCAGGGCTAGACCCCTTCAGCACACTTTCTCAGGAGTCCTATGCAGACCAAAGTTGGGAAGACTAGTGTTGTGGTTCTCAAAAGACCATGTACTAAATGCTTGTGGTACCTTTTAGTGGTGGAAGGTGGACTTTACAGGGTGGGGCCTCCTAAGAGGAAGCAGGTCACTGGTGATACAGTTGTGAGCTATGATATATTGGGACCCTGGCTCTGTCCCTGTCTGCTTTCTGTCCTCCATGAGATGAGCAGCTCTGACCTATCACATGCTTCCTGTCAGGATGTTCTGAATCACTCTAGACTTGAAGTGAAGGGGCCAAGAAACAATGGCCTGAAGCCTCTTCCCATGATGATCTTAGGTATTTTCCCACAGTGGTAGAAAGCTCACTAGTATATGGAACTATATATAGTATATGGATGCTTTGGACTAAATCAGCTGACGAGAATCTGAGATGTTCTGAAAGGGGAAGCACAGAGTTTAAGGGTTGTTTATTTACCAAAACTGTGCTCCTTACCAGATGTATCCATGTATCCATCAGTATCTATGCATCCACACATCTGTCTCCAACTTTGCTTAATTGATTGATCAATTCCTTTATTCATCGTCTTTCCCTGACTCATACATTTACTTATTTACTTTTGCTAATCCATCTACTCTCCATCCCTGTATAATCCAGCCTTCATACCACCCACCTCCCACCCACCCACTGTTTCATCCTTAAATCATATAAGCATACATATGGCATCAATTCATATGCATCTATCCTGTACCTACACACCCACCCATTCTCTGATTCTGACACTATGGCATCCTATAATATCCACCATTCATTCAATCTGTGCAAGTAGGACCTTTTGAAAGTGTATTGCTGAGAAGACACATGTGAACAAACACAACCACAAGATGGCCTAATGGGCTCAGCAGTACATGGCCCTGCCCTCCTGGGAAAGAAAGGATTCTGAAGCCAACACGTATTCACTCTCAGTGTTTTCTTATCTCCAGCAACCAAAAGCATGGAGTCTCCTTTGGTCACAATTTTATAAAGATATCATAAATGAAAGAGGGCAGCGTCATTTTATGACTAAAAAGGTAGAGGACAGAGTACACCACAGAAACATGCTGTGCTTATTTAGGTGCTTCCCCAGAAATATGCTGAACTTACTGAGTCATGGTCACAAAGTCTAAAGAGCATCCATTCTCACAGCCTAGGAGAACACCACCCCACCCTGAGTCAGGGTTCACTGCCTACAACACAGGAGATAATCTGGGTTCATAAGCCCTCAAACTATGAACTTTCCTCTCCACGTCTTGTGCTCAATGATCTCATTCAGACCCATGACTTCCCTATGTATCACTTAAATGTCCAACTGCCTACTTGACACATTCCTTGAAGGCCTCAAATGCAATCTGAACTTAATATATCCAAAATGGAACTCTCAGTGCAAGTTTCAAACTTGAAGGTCCTCCTCTCCCTTCTTTGCTCAGAAAATGCTACTTTTACACACAGAGTCTCAAGAACTGGAAGTCACCTATGACCCCTCACTTTTCCTCATCTCCACTTCCACCCTGCCAATGAGTCTTGTCCATTCTTCCTTACAACCCATCTCAGCTCTAGTGCTCCTACCCAAGTCTGTATGCATCACCTCTAAGCTAACCCTGTTTCTATTTGTGTTCCCCTACAGTTTTTTAGTGGCTCACCCACTATGCTTAAGAAAAACACAGATTCATTCCTATAACCTACATGGGCCTACAAGATCTTCTGAGAGCAGGTCTTAGGAGACCATGAGGTCATATTCTGTTCTTACTCAGTAACACCCAATGTCATTGCCCTTCACTTACATTTTCTTAAGCATACTGTCATTTGGTACCTATAAAACATTAAGATAATATCATCTCTGATACCAAATGTACATGTTTGTGTTTTTAGATTTTCTGAGTTTCAATATCAACAAATAAAATTCTCATAGATGAAAAGCCTTTTCAGTTCATCCAAAACAATTTTTTAATGTACAAATCTAAGAGTCTTATAATTTTTTTAAGCTGAAAATGTGATTTAGCCCCTGCTTCCCTTTCCAACTCCTTTCTCCTTCACCCTCTAGGCTCCAGTCACTTGCTTCTTTCTTTCTTTCTTTCTTTCTTTCTTTCTTTCTTTCTTTCTTTC